TACCAGGCTTTTCTTTTACGAATTTTTTTCTTCTTCTTTACTCACTTTTTCATCCAGAATTTTTCCTTAGAATGAGTTCATTTGCAAATGTGATTAATCCTCCAGAGTTTTCTTTCGCGAATTCTTTTCATTACTCAGGGGAGAGTCGTGCAGTACCGGCCCCTCTAAGTTTCTGTACTATACCTTGGGCTAACGTTGGTAAAAATGAAATTTGAAAAAAGTCATTTGTAGTACAAAGGGTGCTTGATAAAAGGGGACAAATGGTTTTTCTTAAATTTTAGAAATAAAAAAGTTGTAATTTGCAGCGAGCGAAAAATTGTCGCGCAGTACCGGCCAGCTACTTAGTTGGTAGATTTGAAGGTCTGAGTAATAAACAATGTTAGTAAAAATCGTTTAAAAGTAGAATAGAACTTTTACTTAGGCATCGATATTTTCTTCATCCGTACACTCCACGCGAGCCCAACCATTGCAGCTATGAAAAATAACTTTCGTCGTACGGAACACCAGCGTAAACGTGAAACGTCTTGGAACTCAGGTAATACCGAAGAAAAAAGAACGTCGCCGGAAAACATTTCTCAGGGCTGTAGTATTCGTTTGTTTTTCCATCAATAGTGCAGTCAACTAACAGTATAAGCGAGATCTAGCTTTGGCCGGTACTGCACGACTCTCCCCTACATACCTTTTTATCCAGAATTTTTGCCTATTTTGAATTGATTTCAAGTATGATTAACCTTCGAGGCTTTTCATTCACGACTTTTTTTCCCTTCTTCAGACCTTTTTATCCAGATTTTTGGTCTCGTACGAATTGATATTCAAGTGTGATTAATCCTCCTGATTTTTGGTCTCGTACGAATTGATATTCAAGTGTGATTAATCCTCCAGCTTTTCTTTCGCGATTTTTTTCCTTTCTTCACACCTTTTTATCCAGATTTTTGGTCTCGTACGAATTGATTTCAAGTGTGATTAATCCTCCAGCTTTTCTTTCGCGATTTTTTTCCCTTCTTCACACCTTTTTATCCAGATTTTTGGTCTCGTACGAATTGATTTCAAGTGTGATTAATCCTCCAGCTTTTCTTTCACGATTTTTTTCCCTTCTTCACACCTTTTTATCCAGATTTTTGGTCTCGTACGAATTGATTTTCAAGTGTGATTAATCCTCCTGATTCTTGGTCTCGTACGAATTGATATTCAAGTGTGATTAATCCTCCAGCTTTTCTTTCACGATTTTTTTCCCTTCTTCACACCTTTTTATCCAGATTTTTAGTCTCGTACGAATTGATTTCAAGTGTGATTTATCCTCCAGCTTTTCTTTCGCGATTTTTTTCCCTTCTTCAGACCTTTTTATCCAGATTTTTGGTCTCGTACGAATTGATTTCAAGTGTGATTAATCCTCCTGATTCTTGGTCTCGTACGAATTGATATTCAAGTGTGATTAATCCTCCAGATTTTTGGTCTCGTACGAATTGATTTTCAAGTGTGATTAATCCTCCAGCTTTTCTTTCGCGATTTTTTTCCCTTCTTCACACCTTTTTATCCAGATTTTTGGTCTCGTACGAATTGATTTCAAGTGTGATTAATCCTCCAGCTTTTCTTTCGCGATTTTTTTCCTTTCTTCAGACCTTTTTATCCAGATTTTTGGTCTCGTACGAATTGATTTCAAGTGTGATTAATCCTCCACATTTTCTTTCGCGATTTTTTTCCCTTTTTCAGACCTTTTTATCCAGATTTTTGGTCTCGTACGAATTGATTTTCAAGTGTGACTAATCCTCCACATTTTCTTTCGCGATTTTTTTCCCCTCTTCACACACCTTTTCGAGGATTCCTACATATATCTTCCACGAATTTCGTTTCCCTCTTCCCACACCTTTTCCTCCAAATCTTCGCCTCGCACAAATTGACTTCAAACACGATCAACCCTCAAGGATTTCTTCTAAATCTCGCCCAAATATCTCCCTCGAAATTTTTCCCTTTCGTCCAGAATTTCGTAGTTCACCTTGAACAGTTACGAGACATTTGGTTATGAGATCGCGTTGTAACTTTAGATTGCAAAATTCCCCGGATGTGTCAGAGGGCGGCGTCTCATTTCGCAAGGTGACACCTCCTGATCGAATATGCGTGATACAAAGGAAACTCGAGAGCACCTCGAAGAATCTATAATATTCCCATCGATTATTTATCAACAGTACAGGGATACTTTGCATACCTCTGCAAGTATTCAAGAGCAGCAATCGTTCCTCTACTCTCGTTTCTTCAACCAACGCCTAACCGTTCTACAAACAACTAACGTAACCACGTGTGCTAGAACACATCTACAACAACGTTCTGTTACGTGATAACGCGAATCAATATTATCCAATCTTGATAAGAATACTCGAACGAAGTTGTAAAATTCAGTTATTCTCTTTAACGCCGTAGAACGACGGAGAATGGCAACCTTCCAAGGAGAAACGAATTTTAACGCGCGACCAAACGCGCCTGTTCACTGTGACTAGAAGACAAATCGTATCGAAGGCTGTAAATCTCATCTTCGTACCTGCGCATAAATCACGCTTTTCTTCTTCGACTCGAGCGCGAAATACTTTGCAAGCAACCAGTCACGATCCTTCCAACGGCGACGCTCGAGAATTCCATTTTACCGCCGCGTTATTCCCGTCGTTTCGCCGTTGCAGAAACGCGCGGCGACGAACGTAGGGAAATTAATGTCACAGTCTGTGGGCTCCTCGGAGATAAGCCGTGTCACGGTCCCCCTTTTTTTCCCATTTTTTCTTTTCGCGCGCGTCTCGAACAGAGGCGCCTCACCTGCGCAAAGAGAGAGAGACGCTTGTCAGTCGAGCGCGTTCAGGTGAGAAATTCGCGTCGCGACGTTCCTACGGTTAACTCGTTTAACGTAAAAATGCGATAGGTTTCTTCTACTTGGATTAGAGAGCCAGATAAAACGCGTAGCTATTCTCTACACTCGACTTTGCTTTTTAGATATGCATACGCAAGCGTATGGAAGAGGATAGCCGGTGAAATCTGTGGTGAATCAGTGAAATCGTCGTTGATCCTAATTAAAGGAAAAAGAGAGAAGAGGAAGGTGGTGTTAGCGATAGTTAGGATTAATTGGAACAACGTGTAGCTCGGAGAGGATAAACGTAGTGTGTTTTTTCGATGTTTCATTCGTGCGTTCGACTCGCGCCACTGGATCCATTATTTAGAGGCGCGCGAGCGCGATCCAGCATGTTTAATGCATGAAAAAAATGTGTCGAACATGCCGGCACTGTTCCGCGAGATCTCAACTTCCGATAAGGTGACCGTGTCCCGTGAAATCTTCCTCGTTGCCTTTACAATTCGAAACGAGACTGCTGTCGTGTTTCCTTCGGTGTCTCGCGCGTACAATCTAAGAGCGGTGGTGATCGCGAATGAACAATCAGAGAGATCTGACACGTTGATCGGGTGATAAGGTAAATATTTTATCTAGGTTCGTGTCAATTAGTTCTTGGGTATGGCTAAACTGGAGCTTTTACTATCCGGATATGTGAGTATGCGAAGTGCTCGTAATCGAAATGTGTGTCCGAGTACTCGAGTGTGTCTGGGTAATATTCGAGTATTTGGGTATCTGGATTCGGGTTGAAAATTGTTAATTACACAAATATGAAGCTTTTCTTGTCTGGACTTTCATTGAAGGATGTAAGTTTGGGTAAAGTTTAGGTTAAGGTTAAAGAAGACGAAAATTAGTTCGTATAGGAGACTGTGAGATACTGATATTTATTAGATAGACTGTGAATTGCGGATATTCGAATTTAAATCACTCGAGTACCCGGATAACTTGGATATAAATTGAGTAGCTACTCGAGTACTGAAATACTCAAGATTGGGATAGCCGTAAATCTGAATTCTCAGCTCTAAATTGAGTAGCTATCCGATTACTCAGATACTCAAGGTTCAGATATCCGTAAGTCCGGATACTCGGCTCTGAATTGAGTAGCAATTTGAGTATTCGAATACCCGTAAATCCGAATCCTCGGCTCTACATTGAGTAGCAATCCAAGTATTCGAATACCCGCAAATCCGAATTCTCGGCTCTAAATTGAGTAGCAATTTGAGTACTCGAACGCTGAAAATTCGGACGCTCCGGTCCAAATTGAGTAGCAATCCAAATATTCGAATACCCGGAAATCCGAATTTTCGGCTCTAAATTGAGTAGCAATTTGAGTATTCGAATACCCGTAAATCCGAATCCTCGGCTCTACATTGAGTAGCAATCCAAGTATTCGAATACCCGCAAATCCGAATTCTCGGCTCTAAATTGAGTAGCAATTTGAGTACTCGAACGCTGAAAATTCGGACGCTCCGGTCTAAATTGAGTAGCAATCCAAATATTCGAATACCCGGAAATCCGAATTCTCGGCTCTAAATTGAGTAGCAATTTGAGTACTCGAACGCTGAAAATTCGGACGCTCCGGTCTAAATTGAGTAGCAATCCAAATATTCGAATACCCGGAAATCCGAATTCTCGGCTCTAAATTGAGTAGCAATTTGAGTATTCGAATACCCGCAAATCCGAATTCTCGGCTCTAAATTGAGTAGCAATCCAAATATTCGAATACCCGGAAATCCGAATTCTCGGCTCTAAATTGAGCAGCAGTCCAAGTACTCGAACACTCAAGCCCCGACCCAAACAATATCCATTTCGTCTACAATCACTCGCTGCTCGCGTGAGAAGCGTTTGTCAGAAACGTGACAGGGACTCAGTCGGAAAACACGATCGTAGATTTCCGGCGACCTTGGCGTCGGCTCTGAACAGCCGCTCGTAGGAAAGTGACGTCTCCGTGCACAGAGCACACCTTTCCACGAGGTGATCGTTACCTCTACCGCGGACCCACGCGATCGTGATCGGGATCGCGTATAGGTGAGAGGCCTTGCTGTCGGCAGGGTGTCCCGTTAGGGGACCTAGAAGGCCCAGAAGGGGCCACAGCCAATCGTATCAACCTGGTTCCGAACACACCGGAACGGATCCTCGTCCGATGAGGATCGCCTGCCAAACGGCCAGGCCGATCGTCAGTCGACCGGTTATCATTCGCACGTTCGATATTTTCGCGCGTTACTCGTGTCGCTGACTATTCCCAGAAAATAATCTACACTCCTGTGGAGACACGTCGAGAATCGTCTCAAGGATGAGAATTTTTACCTCAAAAGTTCACTGTAAGTTTTGATATTCAGTAGCGACGGTAGATTTATTTTCTTCTATTTTTCTTTATTTTTCCACATTCTCCTGCACGCTGCCGGAATTCGTAATATCGTCACGCGTGCTTTTCAGCCTTTATCTTCATCTTCCTCCACCTCTTCTTGTCCTCTTTCCCGCGTTGCTTGTTTCAAGTTTCCCCGGTGGTCGGAGAGACCGGTGTGTTGGTCATTTCGGTACAATGCTCTCAGTTCCTCTTCTATTACGTATTTAATCAAAGTGCTCGCTCGGTCACGATCCCGCGTGCTTTTCGCCTCGCGATCTCGATCGATCGTGACTCACGCGAGAGTAAACAGCGAAAGTTCTCGGGTGAGCTAGCCGCTTGTGAATACGAATGTTAACGACCCAACCGGTCTGCGTACGCTAATTGAAATTCGTAACGGAAAGCGAGTATTGCATTAGTTAACGCTCACGTGGCTGGTTTCGCGGTATTTTCACGTGTTCGAGGGTCCGTGGAGCAGGTGCGAGAGTCGGTAAAAGTGGCTTGGAGGCGGTGTAAACACCAGATTCATCGGATTCCACGTCTTTCTAGGAAACACTGCCAGCCTTTTCGTCGTGAGGACCCTCGTGAAGGATCGAGCCATGGGCCGCACAGGATACACGTGCATCAGGCACGTCTTCTGTTCCCTCAACGTTCTCATTTGGGTACGTAATGCTTTTTGCTAATTCTACTTACGCGGCGATCAAAAGTTCCAGACCATTGTGCGTTACAAGCTATGCAATTTGAAAGAAACGTAAAAAATTTTTAAATAATTTTAACGACTTCTTTTATTACCCAAATTTACCGCGACGAAATAAATTGCTATTGGTTTCTGCAAGGTTAATTGCAAATTTGTAAAGAATAGATAGCAGTGGTCCCAAAAATTTTGACTGGTAGAGTACGTGTTGAAAAAAATGCCGTTAATGTATTATTGAATTTATCGAAGTAAAATAAGTATTGCGCTCGTAGTAATGATCGTCACAAATCGTGCTTCATTTTTCGCATCAATTTACAAGAAAATTATTCACGAGCGACTACTGTTATAGTAACATTAAAGCTATCGCTTGAGGTCCGAAAGTGTTAAAAAGAATGTCATTAACATATTACTAAATTTATTAAAATAAAGTAAATGTTGCGTTCCTAGTAATGATTGTCACAAATCGTACTTCATTTTTAGTAAAAATTTACATATAAATTGTTAAAGCTACTATTTGTGCTCCAAAACTAAAAACAAAAGAATGTCATTAACATATCGTTAGGTTTCTTAAAATAAAATAAACATTTCATTCGTAGAAATTATCGCCATAATTCGTACTTTATCTTTAGTAACAATTTATGTGAAAATTATTAAAGCTACTGTTTGTGCTCCAAAAATATTAAAAAAGTGTCATTAATATATTGTTAAATTTATTAAAATAAAATAAACATTGCGTTCGTAGAAATTATCGCCATAATTCGTACTTTATCCTTAGTAACAATTTATATGAAAATTATTAAAGCTACTGTTTGTGCTCCAAAAATATTAAAAAAGTGTCATTAATATATTGTTAAATTTATTAAAATAAAATAAACATTGCGTTCGTAGAAATTATTGCCATAAATCGTACTTCGTCCTTTCGAACAATTTACGTGAAAATTATTCAGAGGTAAAAGGATTAAACATGAGCGACGTCAAAGTTGCGCTTGGAAAGTGTTAAAAAAGAATGTCGTTGACATATTACAGAATTTCTTAAAATAAAACGAACACCGCGTTCGCAGAAACGATGGTGATAAATCGTACTGCATCCTTAGCAACAATTTACATGAAAATTATTCAGCGTTAGAAGGATTAAAGACGAGGAATTATTAGTAACGCTTCTAATCACCTTGTCGTCGTCCGTTTATTCAGATTTCAAGGAACTGCGTAATAATTATGACGCGTAACATCCGACCCCGTTCCTTTCATCATCGTCCATAAAAGCCTTCTTTCTCACTCTGCGATCGGTTAAAAATAAATATTGTCGGCGATTCCGCTGACAGTGCGGCACGCGAGACGAAAAAACACGCGTGGCTAGGTACGGTTTTAAGCGTGTCACGTCCGACCTAATGTTCATTTCCATCGAGAGTTCCCTCTGAACGCGATGTTGCAAATGAGCGCGAGCAGAACAGTAGGAACGGCCCACGCGAGCGATTAAATCGATGCGCATTGTCATTCCCGGTGCATTCCACCGTGCGGCACTGTCTCTCCTCTCGAATTTATCGTGCCACTTGAAATCGTCTCGGCCCTCTCCGCGCGCAGCCTCTTAAATAGGACGTTGAACCGTGCTCTATGAGCTATGAACTTACTTACTTACTTACTTACGGTACACTCGAGAAAACGCTCGCGACCAACGAGAGTCCGCTGAGACTTTTCCTTGTAAATCTTTCAACAGGTGCGCGCTATTACCGTTCGCCGTTCGTTTAATTCCACAGTTGTCGCCGTGTTTCGACCACGTTCGCACCGACGATTTTATGGCTCTTTCGAAGAATCCGCGAAATTTTTAACACTTTGAACACTCGTGATAAATTGTCCAACTTCAACGCGATTCGACACTTATGAAATCGGAGAATTTTCGAATGTTTTAACCCTCCGAATTTTATTTCGAAGAATTTCCGAAATTTTTAACACTTTGAACACTCGTGATAAATTGTCCAACTTCAACGCGATTCGACACTTATGAAATCGGAGAATTTTCGAATGTTTTAACCCTCCGAATTTGATTTCGAAGAATTTCCGAAATTTTTAACACTTTGAACACTCGTGATAAATTGTTCAATTTCAACGCAATTCGACACTTATGAAATCGAAGAATTTTCGAATGTTTTAACCCTCCGAATTTTATTTCGAAGAATTTCCGAAATTTTTAACACTTTGAACACTCGTGATAAATTTTCTAATTTCGAAGTGATTTGACACTTGTCATCGCGTTTCGACGACATTGGTACTAATGATTTCCTAACTTTTTGGAATTATCCGCGGGAATTTTTAACCCTTTGAACAATCTTGATAAATTTGCCAACTTCAACGTGATTTCACACTTGTCAAATCGAAGAATTTCCGAATTTTTTAATACTCCGAATTTTACTTCGGAGAATTTCCGGAATTTTTAACCCTTTGAACACTCGAGATAAATTTTCCTCGTTTATCACCGTGTTCCAAGGATATTGACACCAATTTCACGATTGATACCAAAAATACGATTTTCTACCTATTTCGAAGAATTTCCGAAATTTTTAACCCCTTGAACACTCGAGATAAATTTTCCAATTTAAGTGTGATTCCACGTTTATCGCCTCGCTTCGACGATATTGGACCTAACAATTTTCTATTTGTTTCGAAGAATTTTTGAAATTTTTAACACTTTGAACACTCGAGATAAATTTTATAATTTCAGTCTGATTCCACATTTGTCGCCGCATTTCGACGACATTGACACTAACAATTTTCCACTTACTCCGAAGAATTTCCGAAGTTTTCAACCCTTTGAACACTCTTGACAAAGTTTCCCAACTTCGACGTGATTCCACCCGACGAGAATAAATTATCCAACTATTTTCAACAGAGATACAATTTTCCACGAGCCTTATTATACCCGTTGCGCCCTTAATTGCACGTTACCAGGCTGAAATTACGTGTGCAATTTCGCGTGTGCACGCAGTCGCTTTGCTAATCAACGTTGGCCGTTACATCCACCATGGTTGATGCTTTAACGGTACCCTGTTTCACGAGCGACGTAAATCGAGCGGTGTTTAATCGTTCGATCAACTCAAGACCGTTCCGTTCATTCATTCCTCGCGGCAACCGATCGTGGCCGCGATGCTGCGCTTCGATAAAACACGCGAAACCCGCTCGATATTGGGTCGCGCGATTCCGCCTCGATCCTAAACTCTCCGACGCTTAAATTACTTCATTCGAACTAGTTTGACCGGATTGGATAACGCGGTCTGTCGTTACCACGCTCATGCTAATTTACACCAAGGGTCAATATTCTGCCAGCGGCGGTTCTCCATGGAGATTAACCGTTGTCTTATCCGCCCGCGACTCGCTTGACAAATTGCTAGCTAAATGCTACTTGTATACCGAGTGTCCTGACTCAACGTGTAGGCTTTGATTTTTACAGATTTTTTCGGGAGAATTTGACTTTACGTTTCGCTAGTATTTCAGCTTCTTTCATCGATATCTACTAGTGTGAGGTCAACTGGCAACTAATATTAGCCTTTGTGGGTTTGTAAATTTCCGTGTTTCCCTAGTATTTCGGTTACTTTTGTCACAGAGACCTTAAATTCATTGGTACCAGCGTGAATTTTGACTGGCAATTAATATTAGTCTTTACGATTTTGGAAATTTTCACGTTTCGCCACTATTTCAGCTGCTTTCATCAAAGAATCCTTAGTATTCCAGCTGCTTTTATTAAACTTAGATTCATTCGTACCATCGGGAGTCTTGTCGTTAATCGGTCAACTGGAAATTAATATTAGTTTTTATGCTTTTGGAAATTTTCACGTTTCATCGATGTTTCCGCTGTTTATATTCGAAAATTCTTAGATTCGCTGATACCAGCGTGGGTGCTGACTTCAATCGGTCAACTGGCAACTAATATCAATCTTTATGATTTTGGAAATTTTCATGTTTCGCCGCTATTTCACCTGCTTTCATCCGAGAATCCTTAAATTTATTAGTACCAGCGTGAATTTTAACTTTATTGAAAATGTATTTATTATGAATTTTTTGTGTCTTCGAAAATCTTCATATTTCGCCACCATTTCACCTGCTTTCATCAAACAATCCTCAGTACCTCAGCCGCTGTTATTAAACACAGGTCCATCGATACCGGCGCAACTCTCAACTTTAATCGGTCAACCGGCAGCTAATATTAGCCTTCTGCGGTTTTGGAAACCTGGTAACGCCACAGGTAGATACTGTCAGCCTCGCAGAATCAGACTGTGAAAGCGCTAAGAACTGTACTAACCTATAATATTGCTTCCGAAATGCGGAGCAATAAAGCCGGTTTATGTGTATTATCCGTTCCAACAATACTGCCAGATATAATGGACAGGCTCGCGGATGACGAGCTGAAATTGAAGCAGTTGAACAAAGGAACTGTAGAAATCGTAAATGACGTCCACTCTCCGTACAACCGCGGCTTTAATCTCGCACAGGATCCGCGGAAGACAAAGTACACCACCACGGCAAATTACTAAACCGCAACAATCTCCGTAGTAAAGGTCGATATCCCTTCCAATCTCGCTGTCACCGATACTTTACCCAGAAACTCTGTTTCGCCTAACCTAACCATAATTTGCCCCTTTTCAAACTCCCGGCCACTGGTCTCAGCCGTTAAACCGTGAATCGAGCGCGTAAACTCGAAATCTGACGAGTTTCACGTTCTACTAGCGACACATTCGCCGTTCCATCAGTGAAAAGAGGAAAAGTTCGTCGAATTCCCCGGTTAGAGTCTCCCCATTAGCATTTCAATATACGCACACACATGCTTACTCGCGAACGACCCACATTTTACTCACGGTTACGCGTAGACACTGAACAAGCGTGGAAGCGATTTCGTCCTCCTCTACATAATTCAACGACTCCTCGGGTTTGACGAAGTATTCGGAACGCGTGGAATCGAAAGTTGCGCGGTGGTTAAAAGGTCGAATAGCAATGGAAGTTGGTCCGTCGTCGACCTCGCGATTTCGCGAGGTTTCGTAACGCTCGCACACGCGGAAGCGGCTTTCCCGCGTAATTGTGCGCTGAATCGTCAAGGAGAGCCCGGCCTTGTGTCGACACTGCTATCACGCACCGTCTCCCTTCTTCCTTTCGAATAATTTCACGGCGCGACACCTTTCTACGGTGATAAGGCACCCGGTTTTATCGTCTCTTCGGTAGTTACCGCGATTCGTGCCGCTAATGGTGCCACGCTGTGTCACAATGGCACGCGTTAGCGCGGCGGTTTTGCATGTGAAAAAGAAGAAAGAGAAAAAAAGTGTCGTTCTGCTTGGCGCAAAGCTGCGCTTCATAGTTGAGCGCATTCAGGCCAGGCTACTGTACGTTCCTGAACCGGCGTAATGTTCTTTACAGTTATGCGCTTGCGGAATTTTGGGTGCAGGCCTCTGGCTACGATTGGCATACTCCGGATACACGGCCTTGGTGCCGCACTACAGTTTCGCGTCAGCTGACTTGCTGCTGCTGGCCGCCGGATGCGTGACCTTCGTGATCGCCTTCTTCGGATGCTGCGGTGCATGGTTTCAATCTAGATGCATGCTGATCACGGTTCGTATTAACCCGTCCCTCAGCTTTACTTCCACGTTTCCTGTCTAACGCGATTCTTCTTGGTTGCAGTACTTCGGCCTGGTGATACTGATGTTCCTGGCTGAATTTATGCTGGGCACCCTGGCCTTCATCTTCAGGGAACGTCTGGCGCAGAGCTTGAAGGAGGAGCTGCTCTTCGGGATCGAGAAACATTACAATTTGACCAGGGAGCCTGGAACACTTCCTGCTATATGGGACCACATACACTCGGAGGTGAATATGAACAACTTTGTCGCGTTGCAATAATGTGTAATTAGAAATATAAATAGATGTTTATTAAGAGAAATATACAGATAACTATAATACACGTGACTTTGACCCACGCTTCTCGACTTTTTTAACAACACTCTCTTTTCATCCCTCGCTCGCCACACTTTGTAGCCAGCCCCTTCGTGGGCCTCTCGTCGCCGGGGTTCTTCCCGCCTCTTTCATGTTCGTCACATTTTCTTCTTAAAATTACGATACTACAATAATGAGCAAACTGCAATTTTGTAGCGGTGACATTGAGCGTATTTTTAACGATGGTGTATCTTCCATGCTCCATCGATAGAGAGACAGCGTTAGATTTCAACCGTGCAGAGCACCTTGTTTTACCTTGACACTTGGCGGTCCTATGTCGAGTCAGACTGGTCATAAGAATTTTTGCCTTTAGATATGTAATATGAAGGGCTATAGGAAATTGCTAATATCCTACTCGTGAGAACATTCTCTTGTCAAACGCAGAGGTTTTTGAACAACCTTCGCGTAACCATAATCGCCGTAGGAGGACTCCAAGAACTATGAAACCTTTACGCAAGGGAAACTTATGTCTAAGATACTCTTAGGTTAGATCAGGTGACTGACAAGTCCTCTAGATTGTTTACCATTTCCTTTCCCCCCTATACTCTCTTTATTTCCTGCCAATATGCGTCAGAGTCGAAACTTGCCTCTCGGAGATCGCAAATTCGATCGATTCCCTTTATCCCTCAAAAATCTCCTACGCTAATCTTCCCATAGACACTTGGCAGTCAAAACAAGCAAATTTCTAAGTATCAAAAACTGTAAACACCCAGAAATTTAAGAGACAAATCTTTCAATCATCCAACAGAGCTAACCTTCCCCAACGATTTCAGTTCCACTGTTGCGGCGTGGAGGACTACATGGACTGGTACCAGATCGACGCCTGGCCAACGGAGGACCGCGTACCGGACTCCTGTTGCATAAAGAGAGAACGGTACTGCGGTCGCCTCGACCCTGAGGAACGAAACAAGGAGCTCTGGTACAAGGAAGGCTGCGCCTCGGCGATACAGATGTGGTTGGTAACGAGGCTGCACGTGGTCGGGACCGTTGGTCTCGTCGTCGCTTTTCTTCAGCTGTTTGGACAGGTGGCAAGCATGATCCTCTTCTGCACCGTCAGGCACAAGAGGTCCTCTCACACGTACAAGAGCTACGACACGACGAACACCTAGAATTTCAGATGGATCTTAGACGAGACCAGTGTCTAAGATCCATCGAACCAAACGAAAAAAAAAGTAAAAAAAAAAAAACAACTATATATATATATATATATAAATAAATATGTATAACGACGATGACTATTCGCGATGACCACGATCTTCTTTCTTCACGTCCGAAGAAACGATTTCGATTACAGCATCGCTGAATTCCTGTAAACAAATTTTCGCTCCTCCAGGTTGTGTTTAAATTCGAAGGTGAAATTCCTCCCTCTGTCGGTAGAATTCGCGTAGGACACTCGTTCGAATCGTTCGTTCGTCGCGCGGTCTCTTCGTACGATATTACGAGGATCGTGAAGAATTTTCCAACGCGAGCGGGAAAATGGAGCGAGCGGTATACGATTAACGAGGAAACGCCGGATTCCGGATAGATACTCACGAACGCTCCATTATCCTAATGGATCGTTACCATTGACAAATGATATTCTCTCCTGCGGGTTAACAGCGGAAACCCCAGTTTCGCGAGCTTCCGACCGAAAATATCGGTTTCGTGGCGATAACGTGTTATCGAGAATAAGGGACACGGAAGTGACTGCCGTCACGCAAAACCGTTTCTTGAAACCACGTCGGAACACCATTGTTACGAGAAAGAATTTCATAGCGTATAGGATTGCGAAAACATTTATGTTATCTTGCATGCGAATCTGTTTTTGTTTATTTACTAGAGATAACGTTATCGCGCGTGGCGCTTACCAAAATCGCGTTTCAAACATTTATGTTATCTTGCATGCGAATCTGTTTTTGTTTATTTACTAGAGATAACGTTATCGCACGTGGCGCTTACCAAAATCGCATTTCGTAAAACGAGGTTTTGTTCTTTTTTCTGCTCTCGTTAGACGAGTTTTGCTAGAAAACGAAAGAAACTCGTCTACGAATATTCCCACTTGTCACATACACGCCTTACGTTGTATAAATGCAAGCACAAGTATCTTTACTCGTTATTATTTAAGATAAGACCGACACATCCGTGGGAACTGGAACTTCCAAGGATTATTCTATCGTCTAAACTTTAAACCTCCAGGTGTGTCGATTGATTCGCCGTTTTTATCGTACCATTTATTTTATTTACACACACGCACACACCGT